TTTATTTTCCCCTAAAATTTTGACGTGTTCTGTCATATCATATCAAATCACACCCCAATGCATCAAAAACATACGGGAGGGGCCCAGCCTGCTCGGCTCACACGGATCACGCGCCTTCTCCAAACACCCACCCATCTGTTCGCTGCTGCGTCCTTTTGTTCAGTCTGTGTTCCTCCCTCAGCTCCATCCTCGCTGCTCCGAGGACGCCGCTCCCAGCGAGGCTGCCCGGTGGTGGCAGGAAGCAGCTCGAGGAAGCACAAGGCTGTCTGAATGTCCCTACCGCCGGGCGACCAGGTCTAGATACCACCAAGCAACCGAACACCAACCACCAAAAGGGAGGACAGACAAATGGACACCCGGCAGCCTGAGGCACATGTCACCTAAAATTGCTGAGACTGAAAAAAACGTCAACAATCAAAACTGTTTCTTCCAGAGACTTCCCGTCCTCAGGAAGGACCTCTGTCTGTCCAGTCCGTCTGGGGCTGCAGGAGGACTTCCTGTCTAGGGATCATGGGTGGGCCCACCCCAGGCCCCTGCCCACACCATCTGCCCAGGACACTGCCTGTCCGTTCTCCTTTGATGCAGGTCACACTCTGACGTTTCAGGTGAACTCAAATTGGGGGGAGACACTATTCACCCCACGACACCCGCACTTGCTCATCGGTGTGGAATTCTTCCCTAAACCGGGGCCCCAGCCCGGGCTGCGTGTCTGCAGTCACCACAGGTCAGCGGGGAGAGAGTGCGGCGTCCACGTGTGTGTTGGAGATTGTTGTTCTTGGTCAGTGTGTAACACACACGATAGAATAACAGAACACATGCGGGACATGTATAGCACCCACAGACAAATCCGCACTCACTGTGGGCTCCTGGCCTTTAGCCACGGGGTTGCAAAGTCGAAAACGCTTGGCGCTGCTGAGGCCGGGCCCCCGTGGAGGCTCTCCCTCGCCGGAGCGTGGCTGGGTGCCCCACACCCGAGCGGGCCCTCGGCAGGTGCCCTGTGCGCTCGGCGAGTGGGACTGAACAGAAGAGACCCTGCTGGTCCTTCTCAGCCTCCGGGACTCTGTGCTGCTTAGCGGTTCTGGGCTCCAGCTCTCGGGTTCAAGCCACGGCTCCCCGCGGTCTGCCCTTACGATCTGCGCAATTGCTTCACGGGGCTGAACTCAGTGTCCTGCCTGGGAGGGGGTAGGACAGTCCTCCCTCTCCTGCTGGAGACTTGGATGACATACCACTTTACGCCCAGGACTCAGCACCATCCTCACCCCCCAAATAGTGGCCGTTGTCGTCACGAAGAGGGCGGGGGGCGCTGAGAGGTACAGGCGTGTGGCCACAGCCCTGCCTTGCTGACCCGTGAATCCACGCAGCCTGGTGGCCCTACCTGAGCCCTGACATGAGCCCAGGACACAGTGCAGGTGGCGCTGCCCCCCGAGAACAAGGAGCTGTGGGGAGCAAGGTGGAGGGCTCACCGGGAGCTCTTTCACCCTCAAGTCGAGCCACCCTGGCAACAAAAACATTTCAGGTGAGGTAGGCTGAACCCTGCATAGGTGTGCATGTGTGAACGTGTGTGCACATGTGTGTTCATATGTGCATGTCTGAGCATGTGTGCACATGTGTGCTCGTGCATGTGAATGTGTGCACGTGTGTATCCGTGTGCGTGTCTGAGCATGTGTGTCCATGTGTGAGCGTCTGTGCATGTTTGAGCATGTGTGTACTGCGTGCACATGAGCATGTGCGCATGTGCGTGCACGTGTGAGCGTGTGCGCAGAGGAGAAGGAAGGAGAAAGATTATGAGCTCCCATCCCGGGCTAATGAGGCCTGTAAGTAGGGGCGAGTCACACTGGACCCTTTGCCTGCAGGACAGACAGCAGGATTGTAACTGATTTGTTGTCCGACATCACCCAGAGGCCTTCTCTTGGTTTCTCCTTTCCTGGCTGTGACTGCCCATTGAATTCCGATGTTTGGATTAATGTCCTCTGGTTAAACCCTGCAGTTTTCCACACTGGGTTCATTTCCCTCCCGTCCATATTTCTGGGCCCGGAATGATTTCTCTGCCATCACGGTCTTCTCAGCACCTCCCAATTTTGTGTAATCTGTGAATTTAATTAACGAGTCTTTATCTTCTCCTCCAGATAATTAACGAAGATGCTAAATGGAGCTGGCTTAGCGCTGACCCCGGGGCACCGTGCAGGACCACCGGGGCGTGACCCACAGCTACCTGGCATCCACTTGGCTGGTGGCCCCTCTGCCAATTTTGGGGAATGTGGCAACGCATCAGAGGGGATCCACTTGGTGGCACCCGTAGAGCGAACCATCTCTGGCGCGGGGTCCTGCCCCGACGGGACCCCGGGCTGTGTCCAGGCAGCATCCAGGGAGCATCACCAGGGGGCATCTGGTTCCCTCCCTGTGAGTGTCTCATGCTCTCAGCTGTGCTCCTCTCCCAACATTGGGGTGTGAACAGGCCACTCAGGGGTCCCTGCCGCCACACCCTCACCCCCGATGGTCCCTCATCTCCCTCTTCAGGAAGACCCAGCGCCCTCCTGGCTCAGGCCATGGGTCCTGGCACCGTCCTGGACTGTGCTCCACTCGGCACCCCAGCCCCCCGTTAGTGATGCCCATCGGCGCCGCTGTGGGGTGCTGGCAAGTCCAGCTTCTTCTCTCTCCATCTCAGCTGACCGCCGATACCTGCTCCTTCTCACTCGGCCTCACACCGGGGGCCTGACGAAAACTAGTCAGATGGTGCCGTCCTCCCCCGGACCCTCCCATGTCACCCCGTCTCCAGCCAAAGCCAATTCTTGTCCGGAGGGATTCGCTTCCTGCTGCTGACCCAGGTTACTACGAACTCCCGGGCTCCAACGACACAGTGTGTTTCCTACAGTTCCGGGGGCCACGGCTAAATTCTGGGGTCCAGGGCTAAAGCCAAGGAGTCGGCGGGTGTGTTCCTCCCGGGGCTATTCCCTCCTCGTCCTCCCTCCCGGGGCTATTTCCTCCTCGTCCTATTTCCTCATCCTCCCTCCCGGGGCTATTTCCTCCTCGTCCTTCCTCCCGGGGCTATTTCCTCCTCGTCCTCCCTCCCGGGGCTATCCCCTCCTCGTCCTCCCTCCCGGGGCTATCTCCTCCTCGTCCTCCCTCCCGGGGCTATTTCCTCCTCGTCCTATTTCCTCCTCGTCCTCCCTCCCGGGGCTATTTCCTCCTCGTCCTTCCTCCCGGGGCTATTTCCTCCTCGTCCTCCCTCCCGGGGCTATTTCCTCCTCGTCCTCCCTCCCGGGGCTATTTCCTCCTCGTCCTATTTCCTCGTCCTCCCTCCCGGGGCTATTTCCTCCTCGTCCTCCCTCCCGGGGCTATCCCCTCCTCGTCCTCCCTCCCGGGGCTATTTCCTCCTTGTCCTCCCTCCCGGGGCTATTTCCTCCTCGTCCTATTTCCTCATCCTCCCTCCCGGGGCTATTTCCTCCTCGTCCTCCCTCCCGGGGCTATTTCCTCCTCGTCCTATTTCCTCATCCTCCCTCCCGGGGCTATTTCCTCCTCGTCCTATTTCCTCATCCTCCCTCCCGGGGCTATTTCCTCCTCGTCCTTCCTCCCGGGGCTATTTCCTCCTCGTCCTCCCTCCCGGGGCTATCCCCTCCTCGTCCACCCTCCCGGGGCTATCTCCTCCTCGTCCTCCCTCCCGGGGCTATTTCCTCCTCGTCCTATTTCCTCATCCTCCCTCCCGGGGCTATTTCCTCCTCGTCCTATTTCCTCATCCTCCCTCCCGGGGCTATTTCCTCCTCGTCCTCCCTCCCGGGGCTATCCCCTCCTCGTCCTCCCTCCCGGGGCTATCCCCTCCTCGTCCTCCCTCCCGGGGCTATTTCCTCCTCGTCCTCCCTCCCGGGGCTATTTCCTCCTCGTCCTTCCTCCCGGGGCTATTTCCTCCTCGTCCTCCCTCCCGGGGCTATCCCCTCCTCGTCCTCCCTCCCGGGGCTATCCCCTCCTCGTCCTCCCTCCCGGGGCTATTTCCTCCTCGTCCTCCCTCCCGGGGCTATTTCCTCCTCGTCCTCCCTCGTCCTCCCTCCCGGGGCTATTCCCTCCTCGTCCTCCCTCCCGGGGCTATTTCCTCCTCGTCCTTCCTCCCGGGGCTATTTCCTCCTCGTCCTCCCTCCCGGGGCTATCCCCTCCTCGTCCTCCCTTCCGGGGCTATCCCCTCCTCGTCCTCCCTCCCGGGGCTATTTCCTCCTCGTCCTCCCTCCCGGGGCTATTTCCTCCTCGTCCTCCCTCCCGGGGCTATTTCCTCGTCCTCCCTCGTCCTCCCGGGGCTATTTCCTCCTCGTCCTTCCGGGGCTATTTCCTCGTCCTGCAGGCCTTGGCTCATGGCCACATCATGACAACCTGCATCCACCGCACGTCTCCTTCTCTGACTCTCCTGCTCTCTCTTCCACTTGCGGGGACCCCTGTGACTCCTCAGGACCCTGATAATCCAGGCTCCCTCAAGATCAGTCACTAGATCAGTCACTAGACGACAGCTGCAAAGCTCCCGCAGCCATGAAGGAGACATGTCCACCGGCTCTGGGGTTTAGGACAGGCGGTTGGCAGCCTGTGCCCCCTGGTTCTGTCTCCCGCTCTCTCCCTGGCCAGACTGGCCCTGGCACTGGGCGGGGATGGAGCTGGCGGCGAGCCCTGGTTTGTGGTGTTTTGCAGTTTCCTGGTGCCAAGGCTCCTGCCACGGCCGAGTTTAAGCTACGAACATGGCCCCACTGAGCGTGGAGCTGGGACGAGGGGCCCGGGCTCCAGCCGACCACCTGGCCACGCTGCCCCGGACACCACAGCCCCACCGCCTCTCCCAGTGCGCACGCACAGCCGCCTTCCCCAGAGCCTCTCCCCGCCGTCCCTGCCAACCCCGCCCCCGCCCCACGGCCCCCCTGCACTGCACCCCCTCCGAAGGCGCACACTGTACCTGCGTGTTCACGGCTGCACCCCCAGAGCAGCAGGTGACCGCCAGGGAGGCAGACGTCCCTGCATGCTGCTCTCGCCGCTTCAGGTACCCCGGGACCTGAACAGTGCCGGAGACCCAGCCGATGCCCAGGAGCTGCGGGAGATGGGCCAATGGCTCCAGGGCCCAGGCCACCGAAGGAGCCGCACACTGGGGCCCTCGTGCTGACACCCAGGCGCGCTGTCCAGAGTCCCGCTCGTGTCCACACCTGTGCCCGTTCCTGCCCCTCATCTGCTCGGCTGTTGGCCTGGACAGTGGCTTCCGGCTGGCTGGGGCTCCTGAGTGGAGTCACTGCAGGAAGGCTCATCGATGACCGTTCCCTGATGTGATGGTACAGCCCAGCCTGCCCCTTTCTCCAGGATAATAGGTGGTTCAGGGAGACCAGGAGGAAGGGGTTGATCCAAGGACCCTCCTGTCGAGGACGCTGTGAAGGCTCTTCGTCTCGGGGTGCGGAGGGGTGTCGAGAACACATGAAGGTTACCCTCCTAGACAGTGGGAATCAGAGGAAAAGGGAATTTTACGGCTCAGAAAGCATCAGGGATGGTTGGAAGCTAAAGTGCTCCTTCACGTGTTGGCTATTTTGAAATGTCAGGTGCTGACTTAAGGCCCCTGCATCACCGCGGGCCTGTGAGGGTCCAGGCAGGTGACCGTAGGTGTGGGAGGCGGGCGGACGCTGTCAACACAGCCACCCTGAGCACAACGGGACAGGCCTCACCCAGACCTGGCCTCCCGCAGCGTGCCCTGTGACCCTTCATCTCCGACCGGGGTGTCTGTCAATGGCCCTGTCCCCTTCAAGCTGACCCGGGTTCCTGGGTATCGGTTCCATAGGAAGAGGCTCCCCCAGCTGGCTCCTCGGGGTTTCAGGGAAGCTGTGACAATGTTGGGGACCTGGGCAAGAAGGGCTCCCGGACCAAACAGGATCGGGAGGTACAGGGTAGAAAGTGTACCACCGCCCTGGCCGGTGTGGCCCAGCGGTAGAGCGTCGGCCCGCGGACCAAAGAATCACAGTTTTGATTCCGGTCAAGGGCACGGATCTTGGTTGTGGTTCGTCCCCGGCCCTGGTCGGGGTCGTGTGGGAGGCAGCCAGTCAATGTGTCCCTCTCACATCGATGTTTCTCTCCCTCCCTCCCCGCCTCCTTCCCACTGTGTCTGAAAATAAATGGAAAAATACCCTCAGGTGAGTATTAAACAAAAAGTGTTACCACAGTTTCTTCTACTGCACATGCCCAGGCTGGTGATAAACAGCTGTGCGAGGCCACCGTGAAGACGGGGCCCTGTTCACAGAGGTCCCCGGTGTGACAGAGCCTGTGTCTGCAGTCCGAGCAGGGTCTTGGCAAACCTGTGTTCTCTGGGAAACTCGTGGGAAATGCTGTCCTGGCTCAGCTGTGGCTTCTTCTGTCTCCAGCCAACAGGCTACTCAGCTGGACACTCGAAGGAAATGTGGGAGAGAAGATTCCGGCAATAACTGGGTAAAGAAATTAGAAAAGATAGATGATGATAGATAGATGGATGGATGGATGGATGGATGGATGGATAGATGATAGATAGATAGATAGATTGATAGATGATTGATAGATAGATACATAGATGATAGATAGATAGATAGATAGATAGATAGATAGATAGGTGATAGATAGATGATAGATAGATAGATAGATAGATAGATAGATGGATGATAGATAAATAGGTAGGTAGATAGATTGATAGATGATAGATAGATAGATATGATAGATGGATAGATAGATAGATAGATGATATAGATAGATAGATGATAGATAGATAGATAGATGATAGGTAGATAGATGATAGATAGATGATATAAATAGATAGATAGATAGATGATAGGTAGATAGATGATAGATAGATAGATGATATAAATAGATAGATGATAGACAGATGATAGGTAGATAGATGATAGATAGATAGATAGATGATATAAATAGATAGATGATAGATAGATAGATAGATAGGTGATAGATAGATAGATAGATAGATAGATAGATAAATAGATAGATAATAGATAGATAGGTGATAGATACATAAGATGATAGATACAGATGAAAGAGATGGGGAGGCCCTGGCCGGTTTGGCTCAGCGGTTGGAGCGTCAGCCTGTGGTCCAGAGAGACCCGGGTTCGGTTCCCGCTAAGGGCACGCACCTCATTTGCAGTTTGTCCCCGGCCCTGGTTGGGTTGTGCGGGTGGCAACCACTTGATGTGTCCCTTTCACGTTGATGTTTCTCTCCCTCTCTCTCCCTCCCACTCCATCTGAACAAAAGAATGGAAAAATGTCCTCGGGTGAGGATCAAAAAGAGAAAGAGATGGGGAGAAAGGAGAGAGAAGCCCCAGAGGCAGCTATTTCTCCGAAAGGCACTGGGGGGCTGCTCCGGGCACCAGAATTAGGGGCAACAACCCTGAGAGGTGGAAATGCAGAAATGAGACTGATTTTCATGAGCCTCACTGGCAGGGCAGCTGCAGGTTCTTGACATCAGGCAGAGTCTAAGAGTGAGCCGAGGCTGGGACGGAGACGGGAGCCGCCGGAGCTGCGGACGGTCGCAGGCCAGAGAGGTAACGGCCGGACCTCAGAGGCGCCCGAACAGAGCCAAGCTCTCGGGAAGAAGGACGACATGAAGGGCTGAGTTTAACATTTATGGTTTTCTACCCAAAGCATTTGCCAAATTCTCGACCTGTTCGGGACCAGAAGCTAAGAAAGAGAATAGAAATCAGTGGAAACACAGACCACGATACTGTATTTGGCCAAGAAAAAAACAAGTTGGTTTCTAGACCCCCTAAGTAGGAGTCGTAAACGTCAGACGGTGTGTTCCCGTTCAGTGGACGACCGACGAGAGAGCCGCTACAGGGCTTCATACACCACCCGTGGTGGTCACGGAAAAACTAGCAATACTGTGATTAATACAGTCGAGGAAACAGTGACAATATGGAGAATTTCACCAGGGACGCAGAATCCACACAAAGGAATGAAATGCAACCTGCAGAAGTGAAAGGTGAGAAAAACCAGGAGCTCAGGGTGGGCACAGCAGAAGATCGCATCTGGCGAAATAAAATGATAAATGAATAGAAAGCCTCTGTGCAGTCACAGAAGCAAGGACAGTGAGCAGGACATGAGGAAGGACACAGGGACTAATACCTGTGGCTGGAGTCTCGGGCACGGAGGGCAGCGTCGTCGTCTTCGAAGAGAGAATGATGACCATTTTCCAAGAACGAGAAGAAGGTCAGCTATACACCCGGGAAACATCACGAGACTCGGCGGGTGAAAACTGCGAGAGAATCCCAGAGTAAACAACAAGGCACGTGTGACTCAAAGGGGCAACGTGACATCGACAGGCAGGTTCTCAGGGAAAAAGACGGACGCCAAAAGGCAAGAGCTGAACCAGCACTTTTAAAATGCTGAAAAAATAATCCAAGTACCAACCTAGAATTCTCTACCCAGCAAAAATAGCCTTCAAAAATAAAACGGAATAAAAATATTTTCAACCAATAAAAGCAGATACAATTTATCAACAGCTGAATTGCGCTAGGAAGGTAACATCTCCGCGCAGAAAGGCTGTGATACCGGACACATCGCCAATAGGCAGAGTGGATGAAAGGACTTTCATGGGCACTTGACATACGTGCACTGAAACAGTGAACGAACAAAGTAGCAACGAGAATGTCGGGCGTGGTCCCAGTCGCGGCCTTGTTGGCCTCATTGCTGTGACCACGGAGCCAGGAGTCGGAAGACAAAGTCCAAAGGTTCTAAGGCCCCAGTGTCGCCTGACAAGTGGCAAAGGTCCTAAGTTATACTATTCAAAAGTTATACTCTCTAGGGTAATTATGAAAGGACAGTAAAAGAGTCTAACATCAATAAGGTATAAAGAAAAGAAATATTGCCCTGGCTGGTTTGGCTCAGAGCGTCAGCCCGCAGACCAAAGGGTCTCAGGTTCGATTCCGGGCAAGGGCAGGTACCTGGGTTGCGGTTCGTCCCCGGCCCTGGTTGGGGTCGTGTGGGAGGCAACCAGTCGGTGTGTCTCTCTCACATCAATGTCTCTCTCTCTCTCTCTCCCCCTCCCACTCTATCTGAAGATAAATGGGAAAAAAATCCTTCAGTGAGGATTAAAGAAAAAGAGATAAAGTAATATTTTTAACTAAAGTATAATAAAAATGTAACATATCAAAATGTGTGGGTTTCTAAGCAGCTAAACCTATGCTTAGAGAAGAAATTACAGCCCTACATGCACATATTAAACAAGAAGAAAGTCGAAAATCTACGCTACGCATGTTCATCTCAAAAAGTTAGAAGAGCCATAAATTAAAACCAAGTAAAGTCGAGGGGAAGAAATAAGAAGGGTGAGAGCAGAATCAGTGAAACAGAAAATCCACCTGTGACGGGGGAGTTAAAACCTAGTTACTTGAAAAGACAGAAACTGATAATTTTGTGGAAGAAGGCACACGTCATCAGTATCAGTGACGGAAAAGACGCATCACTCGATGATTCCGCCTCCGTAGGCATCGACTTGCCTTGGCCGCGGGGGAAATGCAGAGTGGTGTGGCCCCTTGGGAAGGTGACGCGGTGATGATGTTGGGCTGTTTCTTCTAAAACGTCACTCTTATCCTGGGACTCAGCCGTCAGCTCCTTCTTAGTTACTGCCCTGTGGACATTCGTAGTCGTGTGTTTCATTCCCGATGGCCCAAACTTGGAAGCAACCGAGGTGCCTTCAGCAGGTGCAGAATACGTAAACCGTGGTCCATCCAGGCGATGGGATGTTACCCAGCGCCGAGGAGAAACGAGCTACCAGGCGTGGAGAAAGCATGTCTGCATGTCAAGCCGGAGAAGCCGGGCTAGGAAGGCGGCCTGCAGCAGGACTGTGGTCACGAGACGTCCCGGGACGGCGGCAGCAAGAACAGGTCGGTGGGCAACGGGCTGGTTTCGGGGAGGACAAGTAGGAAAAGCACAGAGGATTTCCACAGCCGTGAAACTACTTTGCGATGCTATACATGTGGGTACAGGTCACTAAGCATCTGTCCACACCCACCCAAGGCACGGCCCGGGGCGTGGCCAGCCACGTGGCCTGTGGCCTGTGGGTGATAATGGCGTGTCAACGCAGGCTCACGGACCCCCACAGGGGAGTCTCTCCGCTGGGCGATGCGGAGTACGGGAGGCTGGGGTGTGGGCGGGACATAAGGGAAGTTGGTACCTCCTGTCCGTTTTGCTGTTAAGCTAAACAGTTTTTTTTAAGAAGTCTATTAAAAATTTTAATTCAGTAAAGCAGAAATAATGTCATCGTTGCCTCTCTTAAATAGCAGCATATGTAAGGATCTTAAGTAAAAATGTGGGTGTCCTGGGACCCCGGATCCCCCCGAGGGGTAGCGGCTTTGCGGCCGTCCGAGGTCCTCCCCGGCACACAGACAGGGCAGGTGCGCGGGCTCAGGTGGGCGGGGCTCCCTGGGCTCCCGGTCTGTCCCTCACCTGTGAGCTGCGCGGTCGCTGGGGGGGGGTCTGGACTGGACCACGTGTAAGGCCTCTGGATGCTCTGACTCTGCTCTCGCTCACCAGTCATCACGAGGCCCCGGCGGATGTGGAGGGTGAGTGTGTGGACACCTGGACACGTGGATGAACGAGGTGGTGAATGAGTGGGGGTTGTGGGGAGCCCGCCTGGCAGGAAGCTGCGCTGTGAGTGACGGTCACGTTAGGGTGACATGTGCTGCGACAGTGAGGTGTGGGGTGCTGGGGGGGGCACTGTCTGTGGGGACCCAGGGCTGTGGCAGGAGCCGCTTCTGTTCGCCAGCCCTGGGAGGAGGCGGGTGGGGACACTCACTCAGCTCACCTGCTCCTGTGGACAGAGAAGGCCCAGCCCCCTCCCTCGGGAGCAGAGGCGCAGGGGGCATGTGGTCGCCGTGGAATCTGGGCACCACAACGGCGGGGAGAGGCTGCTGTGACCCGGGGCTCCGGCCCCGCCTGGGCCCGGGGTCTGAAGCTGGGCGCTGTCCCAGCAGCAGGCTCGGCCTGAAGCGGAGACCCAGAGGGGAAGCACCCTTGGCCACTGCGGCGCGGCTGTCCCTGCCACAGGCCCACACCTGGCCGCGGGGTCTCTGGAGGGACAAGAGCAAGCTGGGCCCTCAGGGGAGCGCATGCAAAGCAGCCACCCCTGCGACCAAGGACAGCCCGAGCAGCAGGAGGCTGCGGACAGGACAGAAGGCAGTAAAGCTGTTCTGTGACCCAGCGGGAACGCCCAGGACAGGCAGCCTGGCGTCCAGGGTGGGCGCCCACCCCCGGGAACCTCCCACCCGCGGGGCACCTCCCACCCCCGGGAACCTCCCACCCCGGGGCACCTCCCACGCCCAGGCACCTCCCACACAGGGGCACCTCCCACGCCCCGGGCACCTCTCACCCTCGGGGCACCTCTCACCCGCAGGGCACCTCCCACCTGCGGGGCACCTCCCACGCAGGGGCACCTCCCACCCCGGCACCTCCCACGCAGGGGCACCTCCCACCCCGGCACCTCCCACCCCGGCACCTCCCACGCCCGCCTCCGGGAGGCACAGAAGAGCACCGTGCACAAGGCCTGCCTCTGGGAGGCGGCCCTTTGGAGGTGCTGGTGGTGGGTCCGGAGACTCGCAGCCCGGCCCGGGGGCACACTGCCCGACACTGGGGACGCACAGGTACCGTCACCTCTGCGGACGCCCCCGGAGCGGCCAAGTCACTCACCGCAACTTGAAAACCCTGCAGACACATGTCAGACTCCAGAGAGAGGCTGGAGCCCAGGGAAGATGGGCTCTCCGCATTCACTGCCCGACGGGCGCGCTGCACGGCCCCAGAGGCACATCAGGCTGTCCCGTGGCGACAGAGCCCCGTCTTTAAGGGAATAAATCGTTAACGCACCGCGGCGGCCTCGGTGCCCCCCGCTGCCAGCTCCCGACCGCGTCGGGCCGGACCAGAGCACCGGAGCCTGGCCCAGGGAGCGAGTCCCACCGCAGTGAAACAGGCCCTTGCTGGGGGGTCCCTGCTGCTTGCTGGGTGCTTTGTCCTTAAAAACAGAGTTTTTACTTAAAAATGAACGTGGACGCTACACGTGTGGGGGGGGGATTCCAGTAATTCTGGAAACGCGAGGTGACACGCACACGTCTGGGCGCGGTGTGACCTTGCCTGGGACCCGTCTTCCCTCCTCTGGCTCCTGACCAGGTTGGAGGGTGGAGGAGACTCCCAGCCGCCCCTGGGCCCGCCTCTGCGCCCCGGAGCCAGTCATTCGCTGCTCGCCTGTCTGGCGTGAGGTCATCACTGTCACCGTTGCTGGTGCCCAGACCTCCAGACTCTGGAGGGAGGAGGGCCCAGGTGAGGGGCGGGAGCCCCGAGAACCTGCACAGGGTGGTGGCATCAGGGCTGACGCTCAGGGAGGCCGGTTCCAGGGAGGACGCTCAGGGTGGGGCCATGGCAGGGAGGGCCTGGGGCCCCTGCGGGAGCCCAAGGCAGGCCCGGGTGCGAGGCGTGGGTGGCATGTCAGGGCGGGGCCCTGGCTGCTCAGTGGGTCGCTGGGACTGAGGGGCTGTCCTGCTGCAGACCCCAGGGGGCACCTCTCTCCTCACACCTCCTGCCCCTCGTCCCCACGGCCCGCCCCTCCCTCCCCACGGCCCGCCCCTCGACCCCACGGCCCGCCCCTCGTCCCCACGGCCCGCCCCTCGACCCCACGGCCCGCCCCTCGTCCCCACGGCCCGCCCCCCGTCCCCACGGCCTGCCCCTACGACGCTCCCTCCCCGACGTCCGCTCCTGCTCTCATCTCCTGCCTCCTCACGAGGGCCCTGGGACCACATCGACTCTTCCAGAACGTTCTCTGCATCTCAAGAGCCTTGACCACCTTTGCAAAGCCCGTTGGCCACGTAAGGTGACACCTCACAGGTCTGCACGCTGAGGTGCAGGTGTCTGTGGGAGCGCAGTTCTGCCGATCTCGGGAGCGACCTGGGACACAGTGACAAGGGTGACAGTCACGGTGGGGTGCACTGAGCTCTGTTTGGGGGGGCGTTTACTGGAGATGCCGCCTGCCCCGCCCGTGGGAGACATTCTCCCTCCCCTGTGACCGCGAGGGAAGGAGGGACCACGCAGGTCTCACGAGGACCCTCAGGGTGCAGGGGCCTTGGAACCAGCCAGCCCCAGCGAGGTGGTGCCTGGTGCTCAGCTGGGGTCACAGCTCCGTTGTGCGGCTGCTCCTGACCCAGCCTGGAGGAGCTGCCTCCTTCGGACCCGCCCAGTGTTGGCGAG